TTTTTTTTTAATCATAAGAAACTTGAGTGACTGAGGCAATAGGTAGAAAATTGCTTGGAGCCAGAATCATCTRAAGGGGAATTCATGCATATCAATATGATGATTGAGGCTGGGTTGGCTGGAAGCCTCCCTGAGACTGTTGGCTAGACTGTCCACATGTGGCTTCCCCATACAGTATGAACCTCCCAATATAATGATAGAATCAGAAGTCCAATAATGGCGGGTGGGGGGGAGTAAAAGAAAACCAGGCAGAAGCTGCATTGTTGACTTAGAAGTCGAACAGTTTCACTTCCAACCACTCCACTCTACTATTAAAGAGAAGGATATCCCCTACCTGTCAGGTGTCAGTTATATTGTACAGAAAGCATAGAAATAAGGTGAATAAATATGTGTGGTCACTTTAGAAAATTTAACCTACCCTATTGGGAAATTCTAAATTAACTGTTGTGATTGCAATGAAAATAAAGAATCTCAAGAATTTTAGACCTTAGCAGCCTGCAACTATGAAATAATTTCATGGTGACTTCTGCATATTTTTATTTTGAAACAATCACAGATTTACAGGAGAGTTGGAAAATMTTTATGTCTCCTCAACTACCTCAGAGTAAGTGCTGCCTTGATGCCACATCACACTGAATGTGTCCGTGAGCATTTWCTACCTGCAGGGCTATCTCCCACATAGCCATTTGGACCCACATAGTCCAAATCAAGATGTTTACATTGATATTTTACTCCTATATAACTTCAGACATATTTAAGTGAACCAAGTGTTCTAAAAATGCCTCTAATTGCAAAAGGATGAACTTCAGAAACTTATGTTGCATGTAATTGTTCTATGTCTATAATCCACTTCCTAGCAGCTGTTCCTCACTCCTCATTCTTTCCTTAACTTGCATGATGTTGATACTCTGAAAGCTACAGACCACTTTGTAGTGTGTTCCTCATGTTTTCTCACAATTAAAAGTTTCTACATCTTTCACAGGGATGTCACAGAGGGTGAGTTATGTTCATGTCATGGCATCCTACCAAGGAGCACATCATTTTCCTTTACCCCATTACTAACAGTGTTCACTTTTACCCGTTGATTAAGATGATGTTGTCTGCAAGGCTTCTCCACTATAAAGTTACWCTTTTCCAATTTGTGATTAGTTTAGTATAGTGAGAAAGCAAAGCTATGTAAATATCCCATTCTTCATCCAACTTTTAGTTTATTATATACTTTGGGTTTCCTTTCATATTCAACAGGTTATAATAATGTTTCTATCATCATTTACTCTGATGCATACATTTTTCCATGTTTAGCCAATAGGAACATCTTTTGGCATATCTCCATCATAACACCCACTCCAGGCTGTTCTTCAGTGTGGCAACCTCATTTGGCTGAAGTTCTGACTACTCTTGTCAGGTTGCCTCTTTATGATAAATAGAGTAATGACTAGCTAAAGATATCTACATCCTAATTTTCAGAATCTGTGAATATATCTTTATGTGGAAAAGGGAACTTTTCAGGTGTACTTTAGTTAAAAACCTTGAAATGGAGATAGATATTATTCAAGTGGTCTCAATATAATTACAAGGGTCCTTATAAGAGGGAAGCAGGAATATCAGAGCCAGAGAGAAAGAGAGGAAGAGAGATTRGAAGGTGCTACACTGCTGGCTTTGAAGAAAGAGCAGGAATGGGCCTGGCCTCCAGACACTGGAAAAGGCRRGGAGACAGATTCTCCCCAGAGCCCCAGAAAGAATGTAACTCTGCCAGTGTCTTGATTTTAACCCACTGAGTCTGGTTTTGGACTTTTGACCTCCAAAACTATCAGATAACAAATGTAAGTTGTTTTAAGCAACTRAGTTGTGGTCACTTACTACAAACACAGTGGAAAACTAATAAGCTCTCCCAGCCCTTCTTGAACACTCTCCTTGTGCTCAGGCTCTAACAGCTTCCACACTAGGTTTTGCCCTGCATGTCCATCTTTCATACTGYGCTCAGAATTTGACTCCTAACACTGCTCAACTGTAGATGCCTACCTTACTCTGATGCACCTAATTTAATCTGAATTATATTATTCAGAATGGGAAGTTATGGGAAAGGAAAAGTGAAAAAAACGAGGAAGAAAAAAAGAGGGAAATCCGTTGAWATTTAATACTCAAATTTCAGTCATCTAATCACCAAAAACCACCCCACTAGCAAGGGCATGTCTGCTATTTATGAGAGTCATTAGGATGGGACTTTAAACAGTACAGTTTTCCTAATCCAGGCCTTAGCTGCTGCCTCTAATGTTCTTGAGACTAAGGAAAGACTTGTCTCTGCTGGCACTGGGAGAAGAACCATTGCCATGCCCAAGATTCCTTAGTCTAAATTTTAGTCCTTGACAATAATTGGTGTCAAAATCTAAATCATAGTCTAAATCACAGTCTATTCTTCCTGTCTAAATCTTAGTTTAAATCACAGTCTATTCTTCCTGTAAACACCCACAACACTTCTGAGACTAGGTGTGTACATTTAAAAAGCAGCATATAATATAGAGGATATTTTGTAACTCTTTCATAGGCCAGTCTCAATTCAAGTTCTCCTAAAGAAACTGCTCCCTGTCTTACTCTCTGTGACCATTGACACCACAGAAAACAATTTATATCTCTTCATGTCTCAGAGTCTGCGTCAAACTGATACCAACTGCAGGAAGAAGGAGAAATTTTACCTAGCCCTAAATTAATGACTTCTGATATTCCATTTTCTACTGCATCATTAATTTCTTCCCAAAATGATTGAGAGCAAGAATTTCTAATTCCCTTCCCCAGAGGTATGATTGGTTCTATAGTCCAGACGAGACAATCTCACAGCAGCCYTCCATCTATAGGTAACTTAAAGTCTGCATCAATCAATCTTACACTAAGAAGAGGAGAGACCCCAGCATCATCTCATGTCAATTAAAGTTATGCCAAAATTAACCTAAAGTTTTTTATCTTGCCTCTTCAATTACTTAAAAGCTTTGGAATCCACTCTCATGAACAGTTAGTTATCCAGTAATCAATATAACACTGATTATTGTCAAAGACTAAAATTATTGCTTCACATGAACTATTTCACTTAATCCCACTATTGTGGGAGGGTTAAGTGAAGTTGTTGAGAAGGAAGCTCCACATACCTAACTTTTCTCAATCTTGTCACCACTATGTCCCAAAGCCACCAAAAATCATTTCATTATATCTATTTTCCGTGTTTATGTCGGTTTTCGTCAGAAGTCCAAACTCACAACACACTCCCATGTACATTTCCTTTTATGACCTATTATACATCAACTTACTGGGTCATCTGAAATTCATAGTTGAAAACTAAGCAAATTCATCATATCTGCAACTTCCTCCTACACAAGTTATAGAGGCTGTCCACTRAGGACACTGCTTCCTTTCCCTGCATCTTCCTTGAGTGATGGCTATTTTTCTCTTCCATGTTTTGGGACCACCACATTGGTCTACTGGTTTTTCTTTTACCACCAGATAATTTTCTAGTCTTTGCAAGAATATTCCTCTTGCCTGGAATGCAAGTGGGATGCTCTCTTAAAGATGTTTCCTCAAATGTTTTCTCTTCATGAGATCAACTATAATCAGTCTATTCAAGCCTCTTGACCACTCACCCACCCAACTTACATTATTCCCAATTCCCCACCCTGTTCTATTTGTATTTTAATCCCATGGCATCAATCATTTTCTAACATATCATGCAATTTACTTACATAGCATGTATTTTGTTTATTGTCCATCTCCCTTTTGCTCAATTCCAAATTCCACAAGAGCAGAGATTCTTGTCTAGTTTTGTTGACTAAGGCATAGAAAGCACCTAGGCACATAGTGTGTGCCCCAGTAAATACTTTGTAGTGATAGAATGAACTCTCAGCTATGATATTAGGAAGAAGACACAATTATTTCTCTTTTTCAGACAAAGAAGCCAAAGTTTAGAGAATATACATAATTCATGAAAGGTAATGCTGCTTGCAATGACATAACCCAAATTCTAATCTAGACCTCTCTCCCTAGAACTAACACTCACTGTTCCACACCCAACAGTATTTGCCTATGGTAGATGGGGGAGGGGAAACCAACATGAGGAAAAGGGGAGGAGGTGGAAGATGGGGTAGAATAAATCTCTGTGTACCAAACTGAGCAGATTCTTTCCATAGCAGAAACTAAATTGAATGGTGACAAACTTAAACCTATATCTTGCAAAGATCATTCAAACAGGTGGAACAATGAAAATCAGCCGAGTTTTCAATGGAGAGAAATACCACATTTGATGGGGCCCAATGGTACTCTAAGATTTCCACAGCTAAAAAGGACTTTCTCCCTTCTAGTTAACTAGTATGCAGTTCAATCACCCCAGTCCTCACTTAGAAAAAGTCTGATACAGCATGAATAGTTGTGAAATTATGCTTTATTCAGATATATTAGATATGGATAAACTGAACAAGTGAGTTACTTTCCATTTGGRTGCAGTCACAGTTGTCAACAATATTCAGAAGCACCAAGTGTGAAATCTCCTGAGGTGCTGAGTTTATCAGGGCACAGGTCATATCACCTGACACATTCAAGTGCTRTCTGATGTGCCATTAAAGCAGTGGCTCAGAATGCAGACATGTTCTCAAATAGGCAACAACTAGATGGTACTGTTTCGTTTATAAGTGTTCTTTGTCTAAATAAATGTACAACCCACAGGGTCTAACTTAGGTCAGCTGTTTAGTTGGTCCCTGAGATAAAGTCTTTTAATCACATATTCTTGCCTAATTTTTCAAAAAAAAAAAAAAATAAAGGGTAAAGTGAGATAGTTACAGGATACAGGAATTATAAATAATACATATAATTAATAATACATAGATAYTCTTCCATTACATAAGTTGCTACTATAAATACTTCTTTGATGAAACTAAAAATATATTTTCCATATAAATAATGTTAAATATTAATAAATAGATTTCAATTTAAAAATTCAAATATTGCAGGCATGAGGACTGTTATTTGGATGCTCTCCGACCCCGAATCGAAGACTGACTCCTTCTTCGCTTCCTTAGGGTAGAGTGTGGTAACAGATCATTCATCACTTTCTTGAGTTCACTCACTGCTTTACGCTGGATCTTCAAGTCATTTACCTAATGGGAAGTAAAACAGCAAAATTTAATTTCAGGCATACAAGCCATCAGGTTTTTCCTCCTTTTAACATCATAGTGAAAATGAAATTATTCATCTTTAAAAAGGTGATTCTGAATAACAATATAGTATCTTAATCTACATTATTAACTTCTTCCACCATTAAGGCTAAAAGAAAACTGAATTGATAATTGTGTAAAATTATTATGGGTTGCATCATATATCTCTAACTTTACTGCTACAGAATTCTCAAAATTATTTAGTGAAAAGAGACCTGGAGTAGTCTTAAAAAGAAAAGGAGGTATTAAATCCTGCATCTGTAGTATCTCTAACTTTGAGCCAGTTTCTTAACCTCTTTAAACCTGTTTCCTCATCTCACCAGCAGAGATTGTTGAGCTGACCTTTAGTCTACCAATTCTGTCACCTCACACTTTGATCAGTCTTCGCTGTACATATCAGATGAGTTCCTATAAGACACAGCCTCTCACCCCGGGTGTATAGCAGACTGACCTGGAGACCTAATAAAGAACTCAGAGACTGGGCTCAGAGACTTGCTCTTGTGTAGTYACTGATTCCCCAGGTTATTCTGAAACCAACCACAGTGTGAGAGCCACTGATATAGGTTAAGTCCTTTGTAAAACACCAAGTTCAAAACAGATGAAAACTATAATTTTAAATTTAGAATAAGTTGAAATAAACACCACTCATGCTCATATGAAAATAAATGACTTGCTGATATAGAACATTTGAAATTAGGATTTGCAACAACTTTTGCTATACCCTGACTTCTACGCCAGCAGATTGCACTATTTGATTTTCTTCAWTCTAACCAATAGAGCCATGTGGACGATTTTATAATTAATAAAATGAGGACCATTTATTTTCATCTTTTCTCTGTCACTCTCTTTCTAATGCTAGAAACACTATTCCCAAGAGTGACTAGGGGGTTTCTAGACTCCAGAATAATTATTAAAGGACATAACATGCCTAAAATATGTTCACAATTGAGCAAGAGGACAGAGTATTGCCCATCATGAATCAGGAGGTTTGAAGAGTCTAGAAAGATGAAACTCAGACATTTTTCTCACTTTCTCAAGGACCAGTTACAAGAGTAGAAAAAAAAATTCTACCACCTGTGCATTATAGTGGCAAAAAATAAAAATTCAAAAGTTTTCAGCTTTCAAACTATCAAGATTAAACAAACCAGGATGGCACTGGGTTAGGAACAAGTGCTTCCTCAATCTCTAGTCTATGGCCCAAAGAAAATTGGTTCCATCTCTCCTTCCGGTTACTGGGAGCTACATGAATTGAGTGAGAGGCAGACCCAAGCACAGTGAAAACTGGGCACAAATCCTAAGAGCAGAACTCATAGTAAGACTTCAGTCCCTCTCACTCAAGACCATTGATATTAAAGCCAAAGCCAAAGGATCCTGACCCCTTTGTCTTCTAGATAAAATTTGGGGAAACATGATTGTCTTTATGCTTTAAAGTTGTCTTTTTGCTTTAAAATTACCATAATTTAAAGATCCAAGACAACCTCATAGATAACACTTCAGAGCCTAAGAATTTCTCCAGCTGAGATATTTTAGTATATGAAAGCTAATCAAACAATCCTTTCAGAAGGTATAAACTCTATCCCTTTTCCCCCACTAAAAACAAGCATCGAATAGTCTCACTTCTAGTTAGGCTGCATAATCTTGAGATGTTGACCAGAGACTGCAGTGGGATGCACATGGTGACTCCTCAAAATCTATAYCTCTCTCCTCTCTCATTCTCATTTTCTACCCACAACATTGTAGAATTGTAGAGCAAAGGAAACCATAGAACTTTTGTAGTGAACCTAGCAAGTTCCTCTCAATATGGGGAAATGGAGCACCAGCCAGGCATGTGATTCATCTGAGGTCACAGTTTCTTGGTGGCCAAGTTGGAAGGAGAACAGATATCTTCTCACTCCCTCCCACGTGTCTTTCCACTAAGACAAACAGCCTCCCATCCAAAGTAAGAGAATTTCCATCGCATAAACAAGGTGCAAAGAGAGACCTGCTTCTCCATGCTCCTCTCTGTGTCTTCACCTACTTCCKGCTCTCTGGATTTATCTGTTCACCTGTCCTTGTGCAATAGTTTTATTGCCTGTGTTTCTCCAAATGACACATTTAAATGATTCCCATACTGATTTTACAGTTACCCAAAGGATGCGTTGAATCAGTAAGGAGGAGTTTCAGCCAGAGGTTTAAATCATAGATATAGCCAACTGTTAAGTAGCTAATTTCTACTTTCTGAGAATTAAACACTCTGCAAAAGCCCCTGCAATGAAATAAAGAATTGAAATCATCTCACCTGAACTTGAGACACCTTTAGGAAGTCCTCCTGTTTAGTTCCATTGCTGTTGAAGAACTTAGCCGAAAGATCCGCCTTGATGGTGTCCATGCTCCTTTTGATGATCTTGTTGTCGTTTAAGTGTTCAAAGAGTTTGAAGTAGAAAGAGACAATTTGGCTCTGGATTACTTTTTTGTCACTCTCCTTGGGAGAAAAGAGCACAAAGATAGGATGATGTTAGTTTAATCCATCAGAAAATAAATAACTGAAAAATCATCCAAATGGTAATGTTCAGTTTACCTCTTTCCATCTATCCAAAATATCCAAGAAAAGAGACCCGCCATCTGATACATTTGAATTACTTGCATTCTGAGAAAAGAGAGGAAAATTGATTGATAATTAGTCCATATATTGTCCTAAAAGTATTTTCAAGCCTAGTTGAAAAAAATAAAAAAYAGAAATCTGCAGTTGTCACACTATAGTATACTGCCCCCCTCTGGTATAGTTTTCTATAACATCTACCTGTGCCCTCCTATACAGTTTTATTATGTCAGCTTTAAAACCGCTGTGAATATATGTGTGTGTGWGAGACAGAGAGATTTTATTTACATTGCAAGAATAAAATCATTTGTGAATGTTTGAGCATTATAATAACAATAATTACCATAGCTAATTTGGGGGGAAATAGTAAATTATTTAAAATACCAAAAAAAAWTTTTTACTAATCATAAATAAAAATGTAAATGTTCATAAACCAAAAAATTTAAAAATTCCTAAGCCAGAATAGTAACTTCAACAAAGTCTCAGTTAGTTACTGACTGAAGGAATAATTCAAAAGTTAAGTGGAGCGATAGAATTCAGAAATCACTTTTTGGAAAAAGAAAACCTCTATAAGTGATATTTTTAAGCCAAATTTTTAAGAACTTCACCTTCTTTAATTTTAATTAATAGCTTTCYATTATTACTTTTAATACTAACTTTGACCTTTTACTGTCATCCTCATAATAGTTTGAGAAATCAGAAACTAATAGCCAATCATTTTTTGAAACGGACATTGCTTGATTTATTACAACTTAGTGGGACTGGGATGTAGCTCTGTGGTAGAGCACTTGCCTAGCATGCACGAGGCCCTGGGTTCAATCCCTAGCACAAAACAAAATCAAAAAACCTTGAGAATATTCTCACCATAAAATTATCAATATAGTTATGCTTAGTACCCATATTATACCTATCTTTTGGAAGACTCATGTTCATGTATCCCCTCTAAGTCTCTATAGCAAATTGAGCAGAGGGTTAAAGCAAAATCTAAATTATTTAGTCAAGAAACATCCTCCAACAATTAACAAAGTACCACATYTTCTCAAAATGATTATGAACTAGAGATCACAGTCTATCAGACACTAGTACAAGTCAAACATTCAGTCATTTTCAACCACAAACAAGTATTATTAAAAGGTCATACTTACAAAATATTCTTTTAAATTTTCTATTTCTTTATTAACTATGTCCTGGGAGTAACAGCTAGAAGAACCCAAAATGATGCAGAGCTGAAAGGCCAAGAAATAACTTGTGTATTTCATCATTTCAGAGAGAGGCCAACGACGTTGAAATCAGTAGCTCCTGTRTTAATCTGATCAGGTCCAAAGGACTTGGCTGATCTTCCTTTCCTAATAGCTGATCTGAGATGATCAGAACAATATACTGCATCTCCTTTYACTGCTGGTATTTATACCTAATTGAAGTCTCATCAGGATTACGTATTTTCACAAGTTTTTAAGATGAGATGGTGACAGATAGGCAGRGATGCTTATTCGTTTGTATTAATAACTATGGTTTGTGGCATTTTGGTGTTGTAGTTAGAGTTTCCTTTCAACTTCTTGGGTCCTTTGACGATGAGACAGACCCATTGTGCCCACCTGTGCCATTCTTGTGGGATCCTTTGAAAGCACTCTTACTTCACACCATTCAGGGACTGGAAATTATTTTTGCCCTTTTTTTTATTCCCTCCTTTTTACCCTTGTAAAATGTTGACTCCTCATCCACAGGGCACATTGATCATTTGTTTGTGGTTGGGAACAAGTGAAAAAGGAAATTCTAGGGCCTCTCAAACCTTACAAAGGGGAAGCCTTTTAAAATTTTTCTTGCAAATGACCAAAAAGCAAGGAAAGAATATGGTTAAAAAAACCAATGTGTGAGGAAGTCCTTCATCAGAATTGTTTAGTAAAATATCCACCACAAGTTTCAAATTGCTCTAGGTCAACATTGCCCACTAGAATTATAATATAAGTTATACAGGTAAATTTAAATTATCTAGTAGCCCCATTTACATATTTATTTATTTATTAGTGAGGCTCTGGGTTCAATCCTCAGCACCACATAAAAAAATAAATAAAGATATTGTGTCCATCTACAACTAAAAATAATTTTAAAAAATAAGATATCTCACATACTTTTGTCATATGAAATTCTAAAAATCTAGTACACACAACACACCTCAATTTGCACTAGCAATATTTTGAAAGCTCAATAGTTACATGTAGCTATGGGATACTCTGTTGAATAGTGTAGCTCAAGATAATCAATTGTTCATTAATAATAGAGAAAGTTTTTAACTATTTTTTGCCTTTCAAAATTAAAAAAAATAGAAATTCCTTCTCATCCCTTGGTAGTTATTAGAAATTATAACACTTCAAGATGGCCCAGAAGTCCCTCCACTCTTTGGTTATAATGCAACTTGCCCTGTACTGTATACAGTAAAGTAGGGTGGTTATGGTGCAGACTTCAATCCTGGCTCCACTACTATATAGCTCTGGGATCCTGAGTAAATCCCTTAACTTTTCTGTGACTCAGTTTCCTTATGTACACGATCGACTTAATAATAGTGCCTCCCTCTTGACTTTAGTTGAAAATTAGATGGGATAATACATATAAAGTGGGAAGAATTTTCCCTGTGTAGAGTAATCACTCAACTAAAGTTAAAGTTAATTCAGTCATGTGGAGTGACTAGCCATTCCTAAAAAGAAAAATCATACTTTGAACTTTACTCATACAATATCTTTGGCCTTAAATTCCCTTTCCCTTCATTTGTGCCCCTCAGGCTGGCACCAAATCATCCAGTCCCATCCTAAATATCATCTTCATGAGTTCTCTCAAAATTATCTTCTTTAAATTAATCTCACATTCTCCATACTGGTTTAGCATTTGGTTTATACTTTTTTTTTTTAGGTCTGATCCCTCAATCTCAGGAAAGTTAGTTATTCATATATCTTTTCCATGTTCAACTGAGTTCCTTAAAATCAAAAAGAGTTCCATTGCTTCTATGGCATACATTTTTCCCTAAAACATTTCAGCATGGAAATTTGCTCATAGGCAGCACCGAATAAGTATATATTTGAATGTTTGCTTAAGGATTTATTTTTCATTACATACCCTCAAATTATATYCCAATGCAATCAGGCCTAAGCCAAACTACATCTTAATTAAATAATAAGTTTTTTAGTTTACTTTTTCCCATATTTTTATTGACACATTATAATTATATATAATAGTGGGATTCATTGTGATATATTTATACATGTACATGCTATAACAATATAATTTGGTTAATATCATTCCCCAGTATTTTCCCTCTCCCTCTCCTTTCCTCTACTCTACTGGTCTCCCTTCCATTTTCATGAGATCCCTCCTCACCTTTCTTTTCCTTTTTTCTCTCTAGCTTCCACATATGAGAGGAAACATATAACCCTTGACTTTCAAATGTTGGCCATTTTACTTAACATAATGCTCTCAAGGTCTATCCATTTTCCTGAAGATGGCATAATTTATTTCTTCTTTATGGCTGAATAAAACTCAATTGTGTATATATACCACATTTTTTTATCCATTCACCCACTGATAGACACCTAGGCTGGTTCCATAATTTGAGTGCTATAGACATGAAAATGTCTTTAATTCTTTAGGATAGAGAAGTGATATCGCTGAGCCATATGGTGGTTCCATTCCTAGTCTTTTGAGGAAACTCCATACTGATTTCCATAGTGGTTTACTAATTTACAGTCCCACTAACAGTGTAAAAATGTTCCTGTTTCCCCCATCCTTTCCAGCATTTATTATTACTTGTATTCTCCATAGCTGCCATTCTAATTGGAGTGAGATGAAATCTCAGTGTACTTTAGATTTACATTTCCTTAATTGCTAAAGATGTTGAATACTTTTTCATRTATTTGTTGGCCATTTGTATTTCTTCTWTTGAGAAATATGTTTAGTTCACTTGCCCATTATGGATTGGGTTATTTGTTTTATTGGTGTTAAGTTTTTTGAGTTCATTACATTTTCTGGATATTAATTCTCTGTCAGAAGAGTAACTAGATTCTTTTCACATTCTTAACTGATTTCTTTGCTGTGTGATTTATTAATGTTAGAAACATGATGCTATATGTATGTCCCTTCTGACTGGGAATTTTCCATGTATTATTTTGTGTTTCTAAAAAAGCCCAAACAGGGGCTAGGTTGTGGCTCAGTGTTAGAGCACTTGCCTAACATGTGTGAGGCACTGGGTTCAATCCTCAGCACCACATATAAATAAATGGATAAAATAACATCTAAAAAAAATATTTTTAAAAAGCCAGAAAGTTCTTTGAGGATCTGTATTTCCAAAGAATAAACAAAATCAAAACTTATCTATGAGATGAGAGCTTCATGTTAATCATGTGAAGAGTATAGAATTGCACTGCTGCAAAAAAACAAAGCTCTTTACTTGTCCTCTGCAAGAAAAATTATGATCCAGAGAATGTGTTTTTAAGGCAACACAGTGATGTGAGTCAAAGCCTTGAGACACACTGTAGGCACTCAGTACCTTCCAGGTAATCAATCAGAAAATGCTGAGTTATGGAAAGAATATTCCAAACTTTCTGAAAGGGATAAAAAATAATTCTATCTATTTCTTGATTCATCCACAATAATATAGTGTTGGGAGAGAGGAGTAAAGAATAGTGGGATCTATAATAGAGAATTATATGCAGCCCTAGCATTTGTAAATTGAGAATGCCTATTCAAAATTATAAATACATATTGAGAATATGTTTATGATATGACCAAATGCTTAGAGATGGTAACTACATGGCTAAAATCAAATTCTAATGATTCTTGGTGGTAATACTAAGCACAAAATTATGGAATTATTGAGACTGTCTATCTGTACACGTTTTAGATCTATAAATCAAGACCCAGAGAAACAAAGTGATATGTTTAAATTCATATCCAATAAGTTATTGAATGTGCCTCTAGTTATGCTAGATACCTGAGTTCAAATAATTAAATTTAAGCTTTTTTTCTAGGATTTCTCCCCTCAGAATTTGTGAGACAGTAGACACACTTCAGATCTTTGAAAAAATAGTAAGACTGAGAATAAAGTTTTGAAATTCTTAGGTCACCATCCCAGCAGACAACATCCTGGGCAGGCAAACTATACAGTCTGTCAGGACCCTGAACTTGGAAACAAACATATTTGATTTAATGCTCTATTGTCACCATCTTAGAATTCCTAATCATTTTTTTTAACAGAGCCCACAGTTGCACTGGTTCCTGCAAATTATGTAGCTAATCTTGCATCCCAGGCTAGATGTGCTGTCAGGTTTTCATTTTTGAACATACGACTCTTTAGTTCAGAATGTTGTCAGTACAATGGTATATCCTTGTGATCTTTTCCTGTCTTGTCAACTTGCAAACAAAGAAATTTCTCTCTCTTTTCTGCCTGTAAAACACCTCCTGTTACACATGCAAACTAGAGGTTTCACACTTTGCTGGTTCTACCCATAGTGATACTGCCGAATAATTCACCACCAAGATATCCTTTAAAAGTTTTACAAAGCCACTAGGAGGCAAGGTGTAATAATATTACTAAAAATGGGGGGGCTGAAAACTTTCTTTTTTCTTTTCAGCTACACTTTCTTTCTGAAAACTGGCTATGGTTATGCTTTAGCCATCAGCAAGATTTCAAGTGTTTCTCATGCTACCTATCTGAACTGAATAGGTAGTAAGATAAAACTTACACATTGGTTGCCCTTTTCCTCTGTGATTAGCAGTCACTTCCCTAGCACTCACAACCAAATGATCTCATCCAGACTTTGGTGCTGATTTCTTCCACTCAGTATGAGTCAATATCGGATCCATGCCCCCCACGCTATTTCGGCTCCTGGAACTCCTGACGCCATTTGAGCTGAGCCTACGGAAGAAGAGTGACATGTACAATGGAAGTCCACACGGAGTCAGATTTTCCCCACAATTTGACTCGTAAAATCCTGTATGTTAAAGGAGAGTTTTCTGAATTCCCCTTTTTCTTTTTCGGCCCACTGGGCAACTTTGAGGTAGGGATCAGAGAATATAGAAGACATTATATTTATGGAGGTCAATCATCAATTTATAATATTCTCAGTTTGACCTCAGATGAGGTTGTGCATTGAAATCTAGAGATTCATGGTCCCACTTCAAAGGTCGTGTTTTTGTTCCTTAAGGATTACCTACAAAGTACTTGTCACAGGGTTACCGAAGAAAGATAGACAGCTCTGTTGTGAAAATATTT